TGGTAGAGGGGTCAGAAAAAATACAACAATACATATAATATATAGAGAGTAAAATCTGAACCAAAACACTACAAAATAAAAGCACAGATATCTTCCTAGAAAGACAAAATAAAATACAGAAACTTTCCTGATGACGTCATCAGCAGATCCACCACTCAGCGCGCAGGAGATGCGTGACGTAAGCAGGAAGTGTTTCCACTCACCTGCCGGAAGAGAAGCGGATGTTCGGACAGGTAAACAAACAGTATTTAGAGCTTTAATGTGTTTGTGTGTGTATATTAATGTGTTTATGTGGAGCTCAGGTCGCTGCTTTCACTAAACAACAAAGACACGAACAGCTGATTTGTTTTATTCACGCAGTTTTTAGCCGTTAGCCTCTTTAGCTGCCGGCGGGCTAACTCCGCTAGCTGTTAGCAGAGCACCGACCGGAAGTGAGGTGAACTAATAAAACGTTTGTCTCGAACGTAAACGAATAAAAAAGGTCAGAATGGTTAAAGAAGTTAATTAATAAGCGTTAAATAATTTAATGTTAGAGATTAAAGCGGAAGCACGAAGAGAAATGTTAAAAAATAAAGTTTTGTTGTGGTTGTGAAGCGCCGTGCTGTTTTATTTTGAAGTTCCTCACAGGAAGCGCGGTAACGTTGTGTGATGTGACGACACCGATATTAACGGTTAATAACGGACCGAACCGGTCGATAACTGCCGGTTTAATGTCCGTTAACGGCAGTTTAACGTTATTTTATAAGTTTGTAACGTAACAAACAACAACGAGTGAGGAAGACCGCGAAATACACACCGGAAACCGCACAGTTACAGAGTCTGGTGTTTGGTTTCAGATTAAAAGCACTAATATTTTACTCTGTTACAAAATAAAAGTAAAATGTAGTTAAAGGGTTAAATATGAAATTAGATAATCAATCAATCAATCAATCGATCCTCATTTATATACATTTATACAGTGCAGTTCAAAGTGCACTAAATAAATCAAATACAAAGATTTTAAAAGTATTAATGAAGTTATATTAAAACTAAATATAATAAGCAGCATTAAAATTAAATTTACAAAAGTTAAATACGATGAACCTGGCTGACTTTACGTTTATACTTAAAAATAAAAATATATATTTTAATATTTTTGCATTAATGTGAAGACTTTACTGATCTGTAACTATTGATTATTTTCGTTATGGATCCATTGATTTGTCTGTAAAGTTGAATTATTAATAATATTAATAATAATAATAACGTCTTTATTAAGACACATGGAAGAAGGTCCAATAAAAAACAAAGAGATGAGAAGAAAAGCAGAAGAAGAGAGGCTGAATGATGTTTCACACAGTTTAAACTGTTAAACTGTTCGTTTCATCTGAAATAAATATAAAAGATCTCTGAAGGAAGAACTGGGGGGAACTGGGTTACTAACTACTACTACTAGTTAGGGTTACTGGTTCAACTGGTTCAACTGGT